CTAAACATGACCTGATCAGTACCGTATCCCTACTTTTGACCAACCCTATATATCAAGTCCAAGTGTATGTTGTTTGAGAAAAGTAATTATTTCTTCAGAAGGAAATGCGCATATCCATGGTGCTAAGTATTTAGCTATTTGCAAAAGAGGAAGCAAAGTAAAACCAGGAAAGAAACATTGCTAGAAGATCTACATATGTGATCAGCCTTATATTGTCACCCAGGACACAAAAGGACTTTGTAGGCCTGTGTCAGTGAAGCCATATGAATTTGGAACAGCAAGATCAGCTGAGTGGCAGAGCACATGCTTCGCATGCAAAAGGTTCCTGTGTTTCAATAATGAGTTATGCTGCTCACATCAGGAACTAAAATGAATTCTCTCTCTAAATTTGAGCAAAAACTTTGTTTCAGTGGCATGCCAATGGAAAAATTGCATTCCTTTCACAACTGTGTTCTAACTCTGTCATGAATGATGCATGTTCTACTCAGCAGGACTTGAGACAATTACGGTACCTTTGTTTTAATTGCCCACTCTTAATTATGTATTGCTCTACCCTTTCAGATTAAGAGGCTTATCAAAAGGGGCTCATTTCTGAAGTGTTCAATAGATCTGAAACTGTTCCTTACTTCAGCATATGCAACGGTTGCTCAGCCTTTATGATGTGCAGCCCTTTCTGATATGAATGGATTTTGTATTCTAGCAGGCACCTAATTTTGAAAGTATTAATAAACTAATCCCTCTTCAGTTTTAGCCCATTTATTAATGTCCCTTTATGTACAAGCTCTGTGATTGTTCTTACTGAACTCAGAAAAATGTAAAATGGTTTTCAGGAATGACCATTTCTGAAGGCTAGCATGGACAGAGTTTAAGACACACCAAGGGATTAATGTGTGGAATTAATTGGCAGTATTCAGCTGGCACAGTTTCTTATAGAAATGACATAATACGAAAACAAAAACAGACTACATTGATTCCTTACATAGTGGTGTGGAACACAGTCCCAAGACACGATGAATTAAAAAGCAGAATTCATTGGAGGATTATCAGAAAACAGATCAGTATGGAGAAAGCCATGCCAAGCCATTTGTTGTTTCAGGTGCAGAAATAAACTGAGGGAAAAAAGAATTGAAGGAAGGTTAATATGAGCAGGTGTGTCTGATAAGCAAACACATATTCACAGCTCAGCCCAAGGATTGTATTGTATCAGTGCAAGGGTGTGGAATCTTTTCAGTCCAAGGACTGAATACAATTTTGGAGAAGCTCTTGGCAGCCCTGTTACAGTTACGGGTGGGCTGAAGGTGAGGACAGCAGGGCCAAAGGCAAAAGAGGTGGGCCCCAAAATAAAAAAAACCATCTTGAGTTAAAAGCTTTCACTGTGATTAAGCAAGCGTTTCAACCTTTCTGAATGGAGAAAAATGCAGAAAGCCTGGAAAATGTCTGAATGATTTGTGGCTGAGGGAAAGGGGGTGAGCTCTGGGGAAGGGATGTGGCCCTCTGGCCACTGAGCCTGAGTTGGCCAGCCACGTAGCAGCATTATAGGAAAAGGGAAGGAATGAGTCATCTTCTCCTGTATGGGACCTTAAGAACATTTTGTTTCAACCCAGTGCACTCCCATTCATCTAGGCCAATGCTGGCTTCTGTTCCAATAACGCAAAAGCATCCATTGTTCCAAAATATTAGAAACTGCAGTAGCTGCTGATTCCCCCAAAGGCAGTGGTGCTTCAAATCCCTCTGCCTACCAATGGACTGCTACCATTGTACATTCTGTAGGGTTTCCCCACCCTACTTCTCATATCCCAGGTCTCCAGATAGAAGCCCACCCTATCAGTAGTGATTGCTAAATATAAATTAATCCATGTTGAGGCAGGAAATCACGGAATACCTGATGAGTTGTTGCACTCATGCCATTTCTGGTAAGCTTTCCAGAGGTATTTGGGTACCATGTGTAATGTATGTGAACAGGGTGCCTGCTGTGAAATGGGCAGCAGGGGCCATTGCCAAAGGGGTCATTGGCTCACTGCCAAAGGCTCCTCAGCCCTGCCACGACTGTGTTCAATGTAACTTCTACAGTGAGGCACCCGCTGTAATTACGAAAGCTCTGACCGTGATTTAGAATCCTGATGATGTGCATTCTAAAGCACCTCCAGGTGTCCCCTATCCCCATCTCAGAAGTTACGGAGAACATGGCAGTGGTTGGGCTGAGGGGTTGGTAAGTCTCTCGGGATGGAGCTAAACATATGGCCTTTTTCACCACAGATGTTCTATTCCTATGAGTAAGGTGATATGTGGCTTACTTTATATTTAAACTGAAGGATATGGCTGTCTGGAGTCTGAACTGCAGACAGCAAGTCCTCTCAGATTTCACTATCAATTAATTTACTCAAGCATATTCAGATTCCATCTAGATTTTCTACAAGCCAATTACTCTTAGGTTCATTTGTCCCAGGTTGACCCCTTCCCCGATTACCTGTGTCTTTCATCAGAAAACATGCTACAGATTTCTCCCTTCATTGGGACAAATCCCAGTTTTTCCAGTCTGGGACACCGCATTCTCTCCCTTCAGTCAACTGGTCCAATCCTATATGTCAATCAGGGCCAGTTCTACCAATAGAGAGAGTGGGGAAGCTGCCTCTGGCAGTGGACATTGAAGGGGTGTGGGAGCAGCAGCAACAGCTCCCCCTGGTTATTTCTCCTGAGTCCCCCCCCCCACAACTGTTACCCCCTGTTGAGAAGCAGAGCTATAGGTACCCTTTGGCCTGCCTTGTATCCCTTAAGCTTGTCTGCTGTCCACTACTACATAGAAGGATGCTGTCCCATTACTGGTTAGTTAGATTCAACAGCTGGTTCAGTTTTCTCCTGGAGTATCATGTCTTTCTAGTTCAGACAGAAAAATGTCTTTGGCTGACCCTGTCCTTAATGTCACCTGCATTATTCCTGCTTCCCTCTCCCAAGTTAAAAAGGCATGAAAACAAAAGCACTAGGGAAAAAAAAAACAAGACATATTAAAACAGTCAGCTGGCTAACAAGCAGCTATAGTGCTCCCATGAAACAGCATCTGTGACTCATACACCTTCATAATGGTGTCCAAAATGTGCTTGCTTCTCATCAAAAGGAGAAAGGTAGAGAAGATATTCTCATCAGTATATCACTGCTAGGGCAGCTGTTGTGGCCTTGAAGTGGTAGGGAACAATCTTATGCATATTTAGGCAGATTAAAGTCCTACATCTTCTCCCATGGCTAGCTGAGGAATGTCGAGAGTGGTAGCACTTTTATCCATCTAAAAATGCATTCACTTGCAGGCTTGGGCAAGTATGCTATTCTGCCCATGCATTCCCCTGAGTACAATAGGGCTACCAAACCTCTAAAGATAACTTCTGATCAGTGGAAACATACCTTTCCAGAAGAGATCAGGTCATTGGAACTTGCAAAAATTAGCTTCCACAGACCTGCCCCAAATTGGAAACGAGCATGTTGGCATTAGGATTAGATGCACGAAAGCCCCATTGTAATCACTCTGAGTATAATGATAGTGGAACATCCCTGTTAGGTAATGCTTTTACACCTTGCTATTTTAAGGGCAGAATACAGACAGACAGACATTCAGACAGACGGTCCTTGATTTTTGTGTGTATTTTGTGCACTAAATGACAAACTGCAAATGGAGGGAAATAAAACTCAATTTAGGCATGCAAATAAACTATATTTGGTTTCATCACTGATCCTGTGCTCAAACCAGAGAAACTTTGGTATAATTCTTCACTTACAGAGTGACAGAGTAACTTCTGTGATCACAGCTGGCCTTATTCAAACTGCTACAAAACAGCGAAATGCCTGCAGTCAGCCATGTCACAGCAGGTGATTCACAGTATACTCTTGACTAGGTCTGGCTTAGGCTTCTAGGCAGCACTCTCACTTCATCAAAAGCTGCTACTTTTTTTTTCACCAGCTTTACTTAGCAAAAAAAAGGGGGAGGGGAGGAGCCTTGGTGCTTGTAGGAGACCAAGACATTGCATTTCTGTTAAAGTGTAGATCATGTTAATCGTTTGAACCAAACCAAGCCGTTATTAATACATACTTTCAGGATACCATTTTCTTGGGAGGAAACCCATTGAACATAGTTCCATCTTTGACTAAAACAGGTATAGGATTATGTCAGTGTAACAGGGGCCCTACAAGATTCAGTACCATATTGAGAACTATGCCAACCACCTGTTTTATCAGCAGGTGTGCCTAACAAGAACATTACATAATTTGGAAACGAATCTCTTCTTGGCCTAAAAGTACCTTTGTTATGATGAAATTTCATTTCATCTCGAGTTTTCCAGCTATTAGTTTCCATCATCCACTTTTACTAAAACATCAGCAAGATTTTGCAATGGGGAACTAAAGTTAGTGAATTCAGAAAGAGTTTTGTTGTTGATTTAAAGAAGGGCAGGATGAGAGCTGTTCATAATTACACCAGTGTTTCACTGGCCATGAAAAAGATTTTCCATTTACTACTGAGAAAATCAAGCAGTTAAAGAACTGCCTTTTTAAAAAATGGGCAGTGCAATCTTATGGCCATATGGTGATGAGACAGCCATAGGATTTTTAGGAATCTCAACTCTGACTTCAGAAGCACACAAGAATAACCTGAAAGTGGGGGTGGGGGGTGGGGGGACAGGCACCAACATGATAGAAAGTATCTTTGTGTTTCTTTGTGCCATCTAAGTGTTCACCAGGCAGGAGAAGCATGGTAATGCCCTTCACAAGTGTGTTCCTTCCATTCTGCATAGAATACCTATAACCCTGCAAGTCTGGAGTGTTACAGGAATCCAGCTTTATTGGTGCAACAGACTGTTTCTTAGCAGAAGTGACATACTGCTTTGTGTTTCTCATTATACAAATAGTGGCTGGAAATAGGCCGGGGATCCCCAATAGAACCCATGAATGGTTTCTTTGATTAACAGTTCACTGATAAACATAAGATGAAATGAGGTCAGTCAAAATGGAACTTCATGTTACTTACTTATAATTATGATAAGAATGGCTGCACATACTGCACCGAGGATGATCATCATCTGCAAAGAGAGTTAAGGAAAGAAAATGGAGAATGCTTATCTTTATCTGTGCCATTAGAGGGACTCTGCTTGTCCTTTTGTAGTGCAGATACTTTAGCTGCAAAGGTGAGTTAAACATTGCAGTGAAGGTGAACTAAGCTCCTTCACACAAAGTCAGGATTACTACATGATCTGCACATTCACAGATTTGAATGTGTGGATTTATTTCTGAAGTGCAAATTTAGAACCTTCTATCAACAAGCCCATTCCCTAAAATCTACAGATCATGACCTACTGGTTGTACTGTCACCTGATAGTAGTGACTAGCATTGCATTAAAATCCAGTGAATTTGGACCAGAGAACTTTCAAGATATCTACATCATCTGGGATTTGTGCCTTTATCAACACATTGTTAAGTTTGCAATTTTCAAAAGGACAACAGTGGTAATTTAATTGGAAGTATCTGAAATAGAAAGCTGAATCTGGGAAATGCCATCATTTTAATGATGCAATCCTGCTTAATCAGGTTAGATTATGTATATTTAACTGATGCAAATCACAATATCATTATTCTATTAGTGTAGCAAAATGTTCCAGAATTAGCATATTGTTAGGTGGAATGAGTAATAATTATACCAATAAACTCTTCACTGAAAGAGCCCCCTCATCCACTGCAGGTATTTCTGTTCCAAATATGAAGTATGTAAGCATAGCATCACTAATTGATCTTGGTTGATTAAAAATTTTAAACCATTGGTTGATTGATTTCACATTTTAAACTATTCAGAATTGCCTGTAGCTCCTGATATTTCGTCCAGGTATTGCTTTGTAGCAATCAATAAAAGATGATGATGCAGCACACTTCCATATCTTCTCTTGGGTCTGAAAAGAGCTCTGAGGCTAGTCTAAGGATATGTAGTCCAGGGTAAATTTATGGATAAATAGCCCATAAATTTCCCAGTTCAAATTCCAGAGTCCTTGATAAGTGGCATGCAGATCTTAGAACTTGTAATGGACTGACATACTGGGATGCTTCCTCTTGAAATAAGACCACATTTTTAATAGATAGCAGAAAGTTTTACCTTACAGTTTTTCCACCAGTGTTTCCTCTTCAGCTTAGCTGCACTGGTTTCAAATTGCGAGGCACCAGCTTGCAAAGCATCTGCCCTGTTATCAAGTTCTGAAAGCTTCTGGTCTCTTTCTAGTACTTTGTCCACGTTAACTCGCATTATGTCTACCACCTGAAATTGGAATACACTGCCAGTTAATGAGCCCATTCATTAAACACTGCAGTAGCAGCCACACACTTAAAAATAGTGCAGGAATTATAAGGAAAGCATAAAATAAAGCATAGCTTGCTCCGATTACTTCTTTCAGAAGACCATTTTATCCAAAATTCCTGTTAAATTTTGTTATCACCCTGCAAACTATAGTCCTAGTCAAGTATCCCGCACCCCACATGTGAATAGTGAATTTATGGAGAGGGAAGCAGGACCGTACCCGCCAGCTTTTACCTCCTGACGTTTACAAAGATGGGCAGCATCCAAAAGGTGAGCCATAACATTTTCAGCAGGGTGGGGCTGCTGGCCACAGCAATGGCAAAGACAGGCAGATACAGTTCCACCACCTACTCTGTGCATTCATTGTATGCATGAGGGGGAAACACCTGAATAGCAGCATTCATTGTTGAAATGGCTTGAGCTCCATTCCTAAGCACCCTTAATTAGAAATAAGTCCCACAACTGGTGTCACAGTTAAGCAGGTTCAGACACCTGCTAAGGGCGCTGACAAGAGCACCCTATAGTTTCTTCTCACCATACTTGTTCACCTGCCTCTCACTCCAACCCAGGCAACAAAGGTGGTGAGGAGAAGAAACAGGAGGAAAGGTCACTGCCTACCTGCTCAGTGGTTCACTGAGTAGTGATGAAAAAGAGAATCAGAGCAACAGCAGCTGACAACAAAGGTGCTGAGAAGATAAACTCATGGAGGGGGAGGCACATTGGGAGTGTCTTTTCCAAGGGCCCTCAAATGCCTGGGGCTTGTGCTGTCCTTGGCCACCCTTAACTGTGAGAAGACAACTGAAGATGAGAGCAGTTTTGCTTTTGAAGCTGGATAGAAATCAGATCTTATCAAGTAAGTTATCTTGATAAGATCTTATCAGTTGCTGGGAGTGAGAAAGACAGTTGCTCTTGGCATGCATTTCCAGGGCTTTCTGGCTAGGACTTGGAGCAGGAGGAGGCCTTGGAATGTGGGCCAATTCCAGAGGCTGAGATGAAAGGAGCAGAGGTGCTTATCTCAAGGCTGCTCTTCCCAGGTGCTCCAACAGCCTCTGCAAATAACCAAATTGTACAGCTCTTCAGAGTGCACTTGTAACAGGGGAGGTTTTCAGAGACAGATGAAGCAGGTATGGCTTTCCACCCCATGGCGTGATGGCAGCAGAGGAGAGTGGTCCAATTAGAGGATCAGCATGCATAGAGGAAGCATGTGCCTTTCCAGAAGGCCCTTTAAAAGGATGGAGGGCCCAAACATACTCAAAAGGAAAGTTCCTAGATTGGGAACTATGATTGAGTTCAATGAACTGCACCAGAGCTTCATTCTGCTGGTTTGTTCTTCTGGAAAATACTTTGGTTAATAAAGAACATTTTGCTTGAAAGGTCCATGGCATTGAATACACGAATGGAGGAAACCTGGCTCATGGCAGTTTTGTATCTTCTCAACAAGGAAGACTTGGAAAGAAAGTTTAGATGCAAGCATAGCCTCATGTCATTTCCAAACTCCTATTTATCTCATCTTCTTTCTCCCAGTAACCTTTTCCTTTTGCTATCTGCTATCCTCCTCCCCACTCCCTGTTTTCTGCTTCATTCTGTTTCTGTAGAGGTCCTCTAAGAGCAAACGGTCCCACAACTCATCACAAGGATATGGCTATAGCCATAAAGGTACAATAGTATCTTTCTTATTGGGAAACAAGACAACTAAAGTTCTTACTTAAGTATTCAGCAGATGAAAAAGAAGCTATTAGATTTAATTAAGCCATTTGTTTGCTTTGCTTTGCTTTTCCCAGCAGAACGCCAATGTTCCTAGACTATACAATAGTCCGCTTAGAGGGCCTTTGGGCTGATTAAGTGGATAATAAATAAACACATGCATAAAATAGTCTGATTCTGATCTCTGTAATACAACTTTGCTCTCTGTTAATGCTATCTCGGCAGTACTGTATAGAAAAACTTCAATTTCTGCACTGGATGGCTGGCAGATAACCTGGCTGTAGATCAGAGTATTTTGCCCAGAGCCATACATAATCAGTTACTTTTCACAGCTTCCCCATCTTCATTCCAGGTTCATCTGAAGGTTCTATAAGCAGTTTGGGCTCTGAGTTTCTGAGAGCACTTGGGTAAGACACTGTCAAAAGGTCTCCTCCCTCAGTATATTTACTTTTTCACTTCCATTCTCATCAGCTACATTTGATCCTCATCTGCTTTGCCATCGTTCATTTATTCATTCCATTTCTTTTCTATACTACCCAATAACTAAAAGACTCTCTAGGTGATTGACAAAGTTAAAAAACAAAAACAAAATATAATATGCAAACAATAAAACAATAACCCCAAATAAAACGGGGAGAATAGGCCCACAGCAACTGCTATAAAATTGGTCCAGAGGTACAGCAGCAATACCAGGTACAAATTTGAGAATAAAAATCGACTATTAAAATACTGGACAAATAAAAGGATTTTTACCTGGTGCTGAAAGGAATAAAGGGTAGAGGTCGAGCACACCTCTTTGGGGAGCTGATCCATAGTTGGCATGGAAGTTAAGATCCCCCAGAACTATCATCCTGGGGGGCCTCAATCCTAAGTTTGGGCTAGCCTTGATTATAAGAACCAAAGTGATTATCTGTAGGCAAACATTTGAGAAATATGCGATATTTTCAGCAGGCACAAATCCACTAATGCACTTTCCTCCCATTTTTGTCCATTGTTATTTAGAGCCACTCTGCTTCAGTCGAATACTTGGCATCGTGTTTTCACTGTCCTTTTCTTCATTATTTTAAGAAATAAAGAATCAGACAGACTGTTTAATCTTGTTCAATACAGTGATGTGATAAGCGACAAATCCCAATCAAATCTGACTACACTATGACATTACTGAGGGAATAGTAGCCACAATGCCTTTGTTTATTTTTGAGAGAAAAGGGGATGGGGGGAGTGTCTTTGTTGACTTTGATAGGCTTTATTGCTCTTCGTCCTTGTCTCCTCCTTTGAAACTTCTCCTTTGAAAGTTATGTATACTAGCACGGATTTCTATGCTGTGGGTGTTTAGTGCCACCTAAAGGAGTTGTGTAGCAATGGTGATGTTTCCTGACTATCTTTTCAGATAAAGTAAAAATAAAAAATATTGCACAGCAAATTCACAGCTATTCTGTGTTGTTGTGTAAGACCTGGAGGCATTCCCCAGTGGAAATACTTCCATTGCAGGATATTGTACGTCCCAAAATCAGTCATACAGGAAGCTGAGTACAGAGACAGATTTGTTGCTGCTTGCGTTCAATTTTCAGAGTACACACAGAACTGCAGCAGAAGATTGCCACATGGCTGACTGTTCAGTGGGGTGGGGAATTGTATGGCTGCAACTTCTTAGTGGGTTGTGTGTGTTGTTTCCTGTGTCTCTGGGTCATGTGAAAACAAGATCCAGGCTTCATCAGGCCGAGGTCTTTCAGGTCTACCGTTCTGTCCACACGGTGGCCAACCAGCTGCCCATAGGAAATACACAAACAGGACATGTGCTTATAAGCCAGGAGATATTTGCATGTCTTTGTAAGTTTTTTGAATGTGTGCCATATGTGTGTTGTATCTGCGGCCTCTGTGATCTCTTAATGACTTGAATCATACAGAAAAGCACAATGAAAATGGTACAAGGAAACTTTGTCTTGGTACGAGAAACTCTAGTAGGTGTGTTCAGACCTATGCTTTAAATTCTTAGCTTTAGTGCAGAGTTCCCTTTGTAAAATGGGCATTTTTCTAACTCCTTGACCATTTTGTACATATACATGTTTTGTCCTGGCTTGGCTCAATATCTTGGGTTATTAGCTTCACAGATTTGTTGAGTTCTCTGCTATATGGAGCCTTTGATTGTCTTTGGGACTAGCACAAACCTCTTAATTCCATATGTAAAATGCTATGCTTAATCCCTTCATCATGTAATGACTATTAATTGACCTGAAGCTTGCTTACTTATCAACCCCAATTTTCTGGCTCTGCCAAGGTCCCCCGATTTATTTTTTATTGCAGGATATGGCAACCCAACAACCACTACAGCTTACTGGGTGTGCTGTTCTACCTTCAGCTTTTGCCTTGAATAGATGTTTTCCTCCTTAAAGCAGGAAGGAAGAGATCAGAATACCATGTACAGAATCTGATTCTGTGCCCCTGGTGGGTTTTACTCACTCAACTCATCCATCCATTCACTTAAAGAATAAGAAAAGTTTATACCACAGCACCATAATTGTTTTATGGTTTGTCACTTGCATACTTCATCCTGAACCAATGGTTGCTTATTATAAGCAAATTCAAAGTGGCCAATAGACTGTTGTGACAGAACAAACAATTTAAATCATAGTCATGAAATCCCCAAAGGAAATGCAAGAGGACTCAAGAGGACTCAGCTCACCTCATTCACTTGAGCCTGTGTCTGTTGCAGCCTCCGATTGCTCGTCATGTTGGTCTGAGGAGGAGTTCCTCCTACTCCTGGGCTGGAGGCACCTTGGGAAGGACTTGGTGCTGACCTGAATCAGAAACCCAGCAAATGTACTCCTGTTAAATAAGTCTTTTAATGTTTTCATGTTTGCATATAGATTTTCAGGTTGATTTTTTAGAAAATTCAAGATGAATGTAGCCACCAGTCAGAATGGATTTATGAACGAAGTAAGGAGAACATGGTATGTCCTAGAAAGGGGCTGATCCATTCATCTCTACCCAACAGTTGCAGCCATTGTGAAAGAGAAAGTTTGAACCACAATACTGCCCTCTCGAGTGCATCATGTACATAACTTTACCAGTCTTGCTACCTGAGCTTCTTTGACTGGAGCATCTGGGAAGTGGAGGCTAATCCCAGTCACAGTACCTACCAACCACTGAGCTATGGCCTCTCCCAAAGTTCAAGGCTTTGAACCAGAAGCAGCAGTGACTTACATTGCAGATTATGCACCACGAGCCACCAAAGCTTCTGGAATGTTGTTTCTTCTCATCCTCATAATATGACCTGCTTAGCTAGGGTTGTTATTTTTCATTTTGCACATTGGGATTGAAAGAGAAGGGAAATAAATTCTTCAAGGTCATTTTGCAAATATATAAGGGGGCATCTTCATACATTACCAACATTTACACTAAAAAAATACCTTCAAGAAGGAACTGATGTAAATGCTACATGCAGGTCACATATAATGGAGGTTTTTCACACCAGTGTATGTGGAAAGTGATGGCTACCTGCATCTCCATGAAGTGGAATAGCTACAGAGGCAATTGCTGTTCCATGTATGAGTTTAGGAAGGCAAAGACATTCCTGAACCCAGTTTCTGGTATGTCGGTCAAGTGCTTTAACTACTGGACTGCTGCGCCAGACTTATTTGGATCCAAGTAGTCAAAGCCAAAGTTGCTAAACTTTGCCAAGACTAATTTAAAAAGACGTTCGGCTACTAATAAGAGGAAATCGATACTCATTTATTCTCTAACTATGACATAGTGATGGTCTTTTCCCTCCATATGCCTGTTTTTACCAAAGCCTCCCTTTGGCGGGCTATGCCAGATCTAATTTATGCTGTGATGGCTCAACACAAGCTGGTAAGCCTTCCTCAGACGTACCGGTCTAACAGTTCTTAATGATTCATCCCTCCCACGTACCTGTGACTCAGTGTCTTGTTTGAATGGCCCTTCATCAATTCCTCCCACAAAGGGACATAAAGCCTTCTCTAGAACAGCCAAGGAAATCTCTGTACGGATCAGCGGGAGCAGGGAGGCATCTAGAAAAACCCATACAAATCTTCCTACACAATTGTCTGCCCCACAAAGTGCAGGCCAGGTAGTGGCATCATTAAACCTCCCCTCTCTGCCTCATCAGAGAACCAGTGCAGGAATTGTGTTGCCCGGTTATAGAATCTCCACCATGTCTGGGTTCACACGAGATGGGGAAAAAGCAAAAACAGCCCTGCACTGCTTGCATGGTGATGGCTTTTTGCCTGAACTTACTGGTCAGACAGTCATGTGGCTACTCACACAATGTGGGTTCCATGCTCCCCACTCCATCTTTTAGCCTTGCCATGTGTCCTGGCAGCCCTGCAAGTGGAATTCCCATTATTTCCCTTTCTTGCTTATGGAGTACATCCTCCTCCTCCCGATTAATTTGCTGCAGTCGTAAGACAGGTTTCCTCTCCTCCCTTCCAAGTGTACCTGCATGTCTGTTGTACTTCCTGGCCACTCAAGCCCCCACAGAGATTTTTTTTTTAAATTAAACATAAACACTGTAATTTCCCTGCTTCTCCCTCCATGCATTTTTGTGTTTTTCTGTTTCCAAAAGTAAACAGAAGCAGACTTATCACTCAGCCAATGGGAATAAAGCAAGTAATACCATGTCTGTTGCTACTGCCTTGAGCTAGGTTTCATTTTTCTTCACATTCAAGCCACAGACCTTTCTTTGCAAAGAGTTCTTTATTCACCAGTGTTTCTTCCAGAAGCACAATCACCCAGAATGACTCTGAGCATGCACAGAGGTCATTGCATGGAATCTAGTATTTACTTCTAGAAGTTGTCCATTTGAGTATGTTTGGTCCCCAACCTTTCTGAAGGGGCCTTTTGGAAAACAGCATGACTCCTCTCTGCACACTGGCCCTCTAGTTGGGTAGTCCTCTTCTCTCAATGCTGCATCATGGGATTGACAGTTGCACCCTTTTCATCTATCTCTGAGAAACTCCCCTGTTCCAAGCCCCTTCCAACTAGCTTTACATCTTGATTATTCTCAGGGGCTGCTGGAGCACCTGAGGAGTCTGGCCTTGAGATAAACACCTCTGCTTCTCTCATCTCACTGTCTTGAGTTGAGTTCAAGCCTCCACCATTCCTCCTCTGATCAGCGTGCCCTGGGAATGTGTGCCAAGAGCAACTTCCTCTCTCATTCCCAACAGCTATGGAACTGAGGGCAATAAAGACTGAAGTCTAGAAGCAGCCACTTCCATGGCCGCTCTTGCCAGGGGAAGCTATGATGTTTCCATACCAACAGTGGTAAAATGGTGATCCAGGTCCAGAAAATAGGAGAAGCCACAGTGAAGTGTGGAAACCTTAGAATAGATCGTAGTTCTCTCTGTGGTTTCAGAAAACTAATTCTACAATGTAGGAATTCCAGAAAAGGGTCTGGATGACACATCAGACCCACAATGGTAAGATTTCAGCATAGCACCTTGTGTTATGCAAACCTTCCCAGTGTCTTTTTGTTTTAGACCTAGAGTAATGGCCATTTTTCAAGTAATATCTACTCCCATCTGCCTTATTGTTTAAAAGCATTGACTCTGTGTGATATTTCCCAAGTCTAGCTGTCTTCTCAGCTACTTATATGCTTTCTGGAAGCTGTATAGGTGTAGTTGTAGGTCACTTTGTTTTCAGGGGTAATGATTCCTTTGCAAAGTTACATCACATATGAAAGGGATTTGAGTCAAAACCAAGGAGCACATCTGTCCCAGGTCTCATTTGTCAGCTGAAAGGAGGAAATGTTCCCCTCATTTCTGCTAAGGCTTTCCAAGTGCCCTCACATGCTGAGTCTCAAGGGCTGGAATCAATTGCTCCTGTGTTGCCTCCCAAATTGTGCAGTGAGCTCCCTAAAGAAGTCTACCTGGCTTCATTGTCTTTTGTGTGCTAGGCAAATACTTTTTTATTCTCCCAGGCATTTAAGAAGTAAGCTAACTTCCATTCACTTCATTATTAATATATTTAAAACTGCATTTTAAAATCAGCTCCATTTTTAGCTTTTTAAAAAATACTTTTCAATGAATTAAATCTTATGTGCTTTTACCATTGGATTATTTTTTTCCTTTTATTGTGATTTGGCCCTGAGAGCTTCAGCTACAAGGTGACTCATAAATTAAACAATGAGAATGAATAAGATAGTGTTCTGCTGTACCAATTTCGGAATGATAATTGAGGGGGCAACTCATTGGTAGATAAGCATATGTGGAGCTGGACGACTCGTTTTCCTTTGCATTCAACCCAAAACAGATAGGCAAGCAATGTGACTCTTTCAGGATTGGTGTTATGTGATCCAGACAGCTGTCAGTACCTGGCAGCTGTGTTTTGCTGCTTGGATACTGGTATCCTAGCAGCTGCAGTTTGCTCCAACTGCAATTCTCCAACAGTCTTCAAAGCCTGCTTTATGTTAACTACATTAAAATAATCCAAATGAGATCATGGACCACTGTGGCTGAATTATCTCTGTCCAGGAATTGTCATACTTGTAGAATAATTTCTTTTCCTCTGTTCTATATTTTTGGGTTTTTTTCTTTTTAATCATTAAAATACTGCTTAATCATCTGTCAAAAAGATTTCAGAGCAATGCATAAAGCTCAAGTAAAATTATTCATCCAGATATTCAAATGCAATATAGTAAGAATAGCAAGTGATCATAATAGAATGCAAGCAATGGGGGTTAGGCCTCTAAAATGCCTGGCAAATAGGGGAATCTTAACCTTTCAGGACAGCACTCTAGAGTTGGGTACTACCTCAGAAAAAACCTTCTGCCCTCTGCTAAAGAGAGTACTTGGAGGAGGACCTTTAGAGAAAACTTTAAGACATAGTCACACTGCCTTGGGAAGAGGCACTTCTTCATGTATTTTGTTGCAAGCCACTTAGGACTTTAAAGGTAAATACCAGTGTTATAAACTGAACTCAAGGACAAAGAGTTTTGAGTGTCCTTAACCAGAGGTGTACTCAGTAGATTCACTTTCTGGTTTTATTGTTTACTCCTTCCTCATTCTGTCTATCTCAGCTCTCAACTTTAATTCTGCAAAGTGTCCTAAATGGAAGGAAACAGAGCCAGTCCAATATGTGACTGCCTGAAGCCAAAGAAAAAATGGTACCCCTTCCTCTGCTCCATTCTATGTTCAGAATCCAACAGAATCTCCCTTCTGCATTGTGAATGCATTGTCCACCACACCCAAGGGCAGCAGGACTGTCTCTGCAGCACACACAGTTCTGTCTTCCATACAGGGAAATGCTCAGGGGGCCAGGAGGAAGAGGCCAGGAGCAGGGGGCACTGCCCCTGCCCCCAATATTTCTGCTGGGTGAGACAATCAACTCATTCTGCTTAAGGGTAAGAAAGACTTTGCTTACTTTTGCCTATCCACAAAGCTCCACAAGATAGTGCACCCCCAAGTTCTAGAGCTAATTAGTTTTTTTCAGCCTGTGGTCCTATAATTCCCATAAGGTCCAGACAATATGGTCAATGGTCAAGAAGAAGTTATTATCCAACACATCTGGAAGTCACCAGAAGGAGGAAGGCTGGTCTAGACTGACAAGCAAGTAGGTTTTCAGCACTGGTGCTGAAGATGCAAAACTAGGCAGCTATCAAGGGCCTGTGTTTTCCTGAGATGGTTCACCAACCATTTTGAAAGGTCTGGGCACAGAGAAGGAACGGTACCTAGAAAATTGCCAAGGTCAGTCAGTGCATGGCTTATCAAGTTCTGTTTCTGTGAGTGTATGTGCAGCTGTAATGAAAAGCTATTATTTTTAACAGTAGGATTTATTGCTCTCTTGGGTGCCCACAACTCATTAATAAAAGTGTTTGCCATCTATGCAGTACCAAGTCTATCAGTTGGCTGTCTGGATTATAATGATTAGTCATTTAGCATACAGCTACATTAAAAAATGAAATGCTACCAGATGTACATTGGTTTGCTGTAAGTTGGGGATGCAAAACCTCTCTCAGTCCAAGGACCAAATTCAGTTTTGGAGACGTTCTCTAGTGGCATATTCTAGGGATGAGCAGGGCCAAAACAGAAAGGGTGGAACAGGTTCACCCCCTGCCCAACAATACCAGTACATTATAATCTGAAGCTCTTACTGCCAGGAACTACATCCTAAGAGAGGCATGTTGACCTTTTAGAAAGAGGTGGGAAGCTGCACAAAGTGGGAATCCACCAAATTCCCCAAATGGGAAAAAGGAGGTGAAGCCAGAGGACAAAGTTGTGATATCCAGACAACCCAAGAGGCTGGACTAGGACATTGGGTGGGTGGGTCTGAAATTCTGCATCCCTAACGTAAGAAATGTAAATCATCTTAAAAGAGAGAGTTAGAAGCTGAGATCCATATGACTATTTGCCCTTCATACACAACATCAAGAATACATGGATTTCCCCCATGCTGTGTGGGACTTACACATGTGTCGCTATTAAAGGCGATTAAAAAGAACATGGAATTTAAAAGAGCAAGATGCTAACAGCATGGTAAAGGAACCATGCTGGGTGCGCTGTCACAGCTTTTGCTGTGTAGCACTTCCATAAGCCCTTTTGAAAATGCATCCGTACATATAATAAATGGGAACATAGATGGGGAAATGGGAAAATAGGTATGCTGCGGCAATCTACTTTAAAAACCTAGATAGATGTATAATTCAAGGTCTAGAGAAGGGAATATGGATTTCAGAGATTTTAAAAATGATTTAAAGTTAAAATAATACCCAACAGGCAATTTCTATCACTTAAAACCAGGGGGAACACCCTGAGTCCTCATGGCCTTTGGTGTGGTCCTACTCCCTTCCCTGAAGGACTGAAATTCAGTAGTGCAACAGAAAAATAGTATCAGCAAACTACTAAGGAGTCTCAAAAGAGTCAGAATCAAATTAGTCTGTATTTAAAATTAGCTTGTCAGATTTCAGCAGCAAACTACCACTATTTCTTTA